ACAGTTACCACTAAAAATGACACTGATTTTTAATTCAAAACAATATTAAATATTTTCGACAAAATATTTATCTCATATTGATAATATTAAAAACACAATAAAATTACGGATAGACCTATAATACGCACTTGTACCTAATATCTGATATGACTACTTCAACGAAATTATATTAATAAGTTGGATGTATTGAAATCGACCTCATAAAAGAAATAAAACCCCTATTACAAGCACATGTGCCAGTAATATTGACGCGTAAAATTTGTGAATTATCCAAAACCAGTGTGCCCTGAGTGTTTGATATTATTGTCTATTATATTGTTTAACTAGCTGTCGCCGGCGACTCCGCCTACGGGGAATTTAGAAAAAACTTAATTAGTAGCATATGTGTTCTTTCAGACTATGTTATATAATCAAGCCGAATATCATCGATATCTGTTGAGCTGTTCTGAAGAAACCTTCAAACAAACATCCATCCATTCATCCATCTATACATCTATACATAAGCGTTTACATTATTAGTAAGATTTTCTTCTCTGCGTTTGTTTTTATTACTACTACAATATAATCTATCTACTATTTTGTACAGCTTCCAATACCTGCCCCTCTGTTTATAACAGATGCAAAATCTATTGCCTTATAAATTGTTTGTGTACATTCGGAAAACTCTGCGCTTGTCTTTGATAGATGACTTTTGATTTGAGCGCACAAACGAAATAGACGATTACGAATTTAGGTATTGATTTATCTTCAATGAGTACATCACAAAAATAATTAAGGATTAAAAGATGATTTTAATTTGTATTGTTTATTTAGATTCGTGACTAGAGTCATTTGTTTTTTAATATTGTTATGAGAAACCCCTAACTAAGAGTAGGTTTCGATCTCCTCAGTGGGGACGTATAACTTATACGTGATGAATGATGAGAAAAAATACATTTTATGAAAAAAAGTGAAACTGATTTTATAAAATTTTGACTTAGTAAAAATTATAATTGAAATAAAGAAAATATCACCGTAAATAAATAATCAATTAATCAATGACTGAACCAAACGCTTAATTAATTTTAACAATGAAGTTATAAAGCTCAAAGTCAGTTTGTCATAAGCTTTATTAAGTCAAGCACCCTAACAAGCCGTCCTCCCCGCGTAGTGACAAAGCAGTTTAATAATTCTCCGTAGAGTATTAACTTTTAATATTAAATTAATAATAATAAAAGTAAATATTCTTTAAGAAATATTTAAAACAAATATATGGAACTAGTACAATTTACAACTAGGGTTGAAAACGCTGGACTATTTTATCGTGAGATTATCTGTGAAGTGGCGTCAGATACAAACAAAAGAAAAAGGATGATACATGGGGTGCAGTAAACCTCATAAGTTAGACGAATCGCAGAATATTTCTACTTAACGCCTGGCTATGAGGTTTTGTACTGTTGCATAGTTTTATTTCCTCATTAACAATTCCATGAACTGACATAATTAATATTTAACATCTCTGTCATTAGAATTCCTAAGTTTCGCCTTCCTAGTATAGTTTCCATACATGTTGCGTCGCTTTGTGATACTGTGTTATTTCCCCTGAGAGTCATGTCAGTGCAGCTCACCACAAATGTAATTTAGAAATTCATGTTTACATAGATCTTTAATAGCTAGTTAGTTTATTTTAAATGTTTAATGAAATGAAATTAAAACTTTAATAATTAATAAATTTATCATTAAAATTTTAATGATTAATAAAATTTATCATTAAATTTTAATGTTGTTTAAAATTAATCTGATTTGCATTCTATATAGGATTTATTTAACAGAAGTCCATCACTTTGACCGTATGTAAATATAATAAGGAGTTCCTTTCAAACAACTTCGAAATATTTTGAGGTTTTTGAACTTAAATGTGAAACGAAAAGTGTATTTTTTTACCTTTCTTTTCATATTATTCAAAAGAAATAATTAATTGTTATATAAGTGAAGATAAATTACTCGGCGGTAGCACATTGAAACGGAAAATATCTTCCCGTGGTCGGAGTTATCGGCTTTCTAAAAGCAATTAAGCTAAAGTCCCCTTGGAGACACCGCAGCGATAACATTGTACTACGCTCCCGCCTTATTCTTTTGTTATTAATGGGATAATAACTGACAGCAACGGCTTAATCAACGACGTCGCTTTAATGTTTAATTACAGATAACATGATAAAATGAATCCCATTTAATTCCGAACGATCTTTTCATAAACTCCTATTTTTCATGAAACCAGACAGAAATCATTACGTTTAAATGTAATTTCTAATATTTCCATTCTATTTATTACAAGTTCTATAAAAACAATATACCTATATTGGCCATACAGTTCTAAAGTCATAAAAGTCCGAAAAAGTTTAGCCGCTCGTTTCAATATTCGGTGAAAGATTAACCCTAACTTGAAGAATTCTGAAAGAGCGACCCTCAGAATGGCCCATAAAAATGTAGCCTCACTTATTGGTTATCCGAAAAATAGGGTCGGCTGCCATCTGTCGCCAAATATTCTTAATGGTTATGATATGTTGATACTTGACATGAATATTTTTCTTTTTTTTAATCAAACAAAAACACAGGACAAAGTGGACGTATCAGAATGCTTTGATAATGTATTGTGAAGCACTACATCAAGGAATACCGTAGTAAAGTAGAAGGAATTATAATTTTGCGAATCAATTTTCACTTTGCTACATATAGAATAGGCACCGAGTTTGGGATAAACGTGCCTGGTCACTGCACTCCAACCTCCGTGCACCTACGCCCTCGTGTTCAGGCAAATGCCTTTAAATGAATAGAAAGTGGTATATGCAAATATTGTACAAATTACCTATTTAGATTGTAAGATTTTTTCATCTTTTCTGTGTTTATAAGTTGACTACATTGGAAAAGAATATAGGAATATAGTGTAATTTTAATTATAGCAAAGCATTATTAAAAAGTAGAGCTAAATAAATATACCACAATATACCTTATAGCCCCTTAATATGTCGCATTAAATAAGTGTCAAACGTAAAGTATACTTATGTAAAATTAAATTTTAAGTCATATTTACCTTCTCATAAACAAGAGCAATTGATGCGAGCTGATAAATCTTTAAAACTTTGCTGTCTCCGGAAAATTTACGAAGCGATACCCGAGAGTATCTTAAATGATAAATTACAGAAGTTACCAGATTCAATACACTTCATTATCTCCCCTTGCTTTGTTTATAATGATGAAACTTCTGGATGTAGCACAGCTTTAAATATGAATGAAAAATTTACCATCATTTTATAGGAATAAATTAGACTAAAGAAAATTTTGAATGTCTATCTAAAGTTAATGAACAAGAATAACTGTCTTAGTTTATAAATAAAATATATGAAAAGGAAATTATAAGACAACGATAAGCAATCAAACAACCTATTCGATTAATTTTATTATAGGACCGATCCTCGAATGATGTCCGTTATGCGAGTACGGTCCAAAACTATGACACCCGTCTATTAAAAACGACAATTATCATCCCAAAAATTATTTCGATACTTCATAGGTGTCAATTGTCAAACTAATCATTCGTAAATAGAAAAACTGTATGTAGTAATAATAGGAAGGTCAAATTAAGTTAGAAAATTCTCGTACAATTAATCAATTATTTATATTTCCGTTTTAAGGATTAAGCGAATTCTAAGCTCGGACTTAAGCTCTATAACTTAAGTAGAATGCACTTAAATATGTTGTATGTATGTATGTCTATCTACACATTAATTTTCTGCGAATATCAAGAGAATAATTTAATGGATGTTGAACGTAATCCGCTTAGCCGCAATATGGATTAAATGGGTTCATGTGTACATATGTTTTAGTATAAGTATATATAAAGCAATCGATAGAACTCAGTTCTTATAAAAAAATGTGTTTATTCGATAAATTTCAGATATTACTAGATGCACTTAATAATCTCCTCTTGTTTTATTTATAATGATGAAATTTCTGGATGAAATAAAGGCTAAATTAGGGTAAAGAACATTTTGAATGTCTATATAAAGTTATCCACTATATGCTACCGACGAGTTCTTGGATACTTTGGACATGTTGCCCGGAGAAACCACGACGTCGTTAGAAATATTGAATTTACTCATTGTCATTTAAAAGACCTCAACAATAGCATCTGTCTGTATTTAATACCTCTACTTTACTAATTTCGTTTAATCATTCACTATCTATATACCAATTTTGATTAAAATTGTTAACATTATGGTTATTATAATCAAAATTTGTTTTAGACGATCTACATATTTTTATTCCTTGACAAAAAATAACGCTCTTTCCATGTTAGGTTAGCAGGAAATAGACTTTATTTCGAAGCTAACCACAGAGCTATATGGTATTGCCATTTCAAATGTAAACATAATTAGCCATATCGGTGTAGTAGCTAATATTTGAGACACAAGTTGGTTTAGACTAGTGTTTGGTGTTTACAATGAGTAATCATGTTTCTGAGCAATATTAGGAACTTAAATATTTTGTTTCGTTTTATCTATCCTTACAGAAGTTAAATAAAATTTACTTCGAATTTTAATCTTAATTTTTTTTAGTAACATGTGTTTTAAAGAATTGTTAATTTTTAAATATGATTTCAAGGAATTTACTTTTGATATGTTTTTAAATAGAATACAAATACAAGTACAATGTATGTTGTTTCCAAAATCAACTCGACAAAACCGAGCTAAAGTTTCAGCAGCGCATTGGAGCTGTGCAAATATGCTCAGGAGCTTTATTGAAGGTTTGTGTATTCAACGTACCTACTTTTGCATTTACGTATATTCCTTTGTGTGGTTATTCGGTGTATAAATTTCAACTTTCCAAATTGAAGATTCGAAATACTCCATCTTTTACATTTATTTTTAAAGCTGAAATGTAGTTCAATGTACCCATATAGGTTTACTGAAGCATTTTTAGATTTTTGAACATAACAAAAGACAACGAAGGAAAAGACTATGTTGATGATTTAGTTTGTCAAATGTACTTGAATAGTTAAGCAACCAAATGGAGTAAAACATTAATTTATACAGGGCTAATAATATCAGTTGATTTCTTATTTTAATAGCTGCATGACGTACAAGATAACTTTACTTGCTTTTTCATAAATGCTGTTCATTACATCTTCATTCTTCGTCTTCGTAAACTTACATCTACTGAAGTACAAAAACATAAATAATAAATACTTTATAAACTACTTTTACAATACTAGGTGATAAAAACATTTAAACTCTGCATTTTTATTTTGTATTTATTGATTGTGTTTCGTGATAAGTGAAATTTTCCCCTCGGGTCGCTTTTTATTTTTGTCACGGAGCAATTTCTTTTCGAATCCGTATACAGAATAAAACGGAAGCGGCATAACAGTTGAAGATACCGGCAGAAGATCTGAAACGAGAGAAATGTTATTGTAACAGAATATTCATTTTGAAATTAATATTATGTATACGAATTGCGATCGCATCAAACTAGCTTGTGATTTGTTTTGTTTGATTTGTAAATTACCAAGGTCATTCAAGGTCACTAGCAAATCGGTATTTGTAGACGCAGTGTAGACCGTTCGGTGCAATACCACGCACATTCAGAAGACAAACATGAATTCAAATTTGATTCCGTGTTTCGTCTGATGAGTGTATTTGTGTGGGTGTGCCTGAGGATATTTTTTACTTCTCATCCATCCAAAAATAATCCTCAAATGCGCTTATAAGTACTGTTCATAAGCATATTTCTTTGGTTCTTCAATAATTCATACTTTTCGTTATCTTCGCTGATATTAATGTATTTTATTAAAATTAAATAGATATCAATATTAATTTAGTTACGTTACGCATGACTTTATGTTAAGTGACAAACACAGGTCCATATACAATCTTGACCCTGGCCCGTTACTTGGTAATGCAAGGCCGGGCGACCAGTCTTAAGCTTTTTAATGCAGTCTCTGCACAGTTCTGTTCAAAGACCGCGTTCACACTTTATTATAAAAGTTATTATGAACTCTTAAAGTTACTTTGAGTTACAATCCACTCTTAATTGAGACACTTTTATTCCTTCGCTTTGTGGAAATTATTGTCACCCTAGCACTTTAGATTTCTTGTAGGTATTTTTATAAATACAATTATTTAAATTCAGAAAAGTTATACAAAAACATATTATCATCGCTATTATTTTACGTACTTTATGTAGCGAAAATAATATTTCTAACTTCCATTTGAGTTATAGAGATGAATTTAATATGTAAATGTTATTTTTAATTATTTTCTATATACCACGGAAAGGTTGTAAACATGACTTTGTATTTCGAAAGTGCACTTTGCGCACGACACGAAGTTTGTGAACTCAAGGCAATACCGTGAGTAAACCTGCATCCATTTAATTTTAAATAATAACGAAACATTCGCTGGTAATACTGTATCATTTTACGCTGTATTTTTTATTGATATTAAAAGTTGGTCATCAAGATATTTGAATGTTACTGTAACCATGAACACGCTCCGTCAAAAATCTTAAAAAACTTCTAGTACTTTCCGTTTGAAAAAAATAATGTAAGAAGTGTTTCGATGTGAATGTTTTGGTAGTGCGAACATACTGATATTATATCTAATGTCATCTTATATCAACAAGATGCACAGAGTTTTAGTGTCCTGCCTTGATTGTCTTCTTACCCAGGGTATAATGGTCAGTATTAAATCGGCACAGAAAACATATAATGGATGGGAAAAATTAATTTCTAAATGAGCGAAAAACGGGTTTTGATCTTACTCACCATAACTTTTTTAACGTTTTAAATCATTTTTTTAAGAATATTGTAAAATTAAAAAGGTCTTATAATAATGCCAGAGTTCATTTTGATTAAATTAAAATCTTTGTTTTAAAATGTAGCCAATAGATGGTGCTATTCTATCTATGAAAGCATTAGTCAATCGGTTTTTTTAATTAAGGTTATGTTGCGGTATTATTAGCTATTTATAAAAAAAACTGTAAAGAATAATAAATATTTCACTATAACATATCAAACACAAAAACTATCAAATACAGTCGACACAATTTTAAGAAGAGGTCACATTTTGATGAAGTGTTATTCAGATGGTTTCAGTATTTTGACAATTCTTAAATAATAATACACTGTTATAACACGAAATAAAACAATCTATTATTCTAATAACAACAGAATTGAACCGTATCAATTCACCGAAGTGTTTATTTGTCATTCGAAATGTGTTATCAAAAGCGACTTACCGGGCTTCAGAACGTTATCGGAGTCCCGTCGATACAGCATCCCGTAAGTAGAGCCAAAAATACAGGCCGACAACAGTAGGAGAAGCAGACAAAAATTCATTCTTTAAATGGCCCAAATATACCGGGATCGCGCAACTCGACAGTGGATATATTTTATCCTTTATTTATTCGACACTCTTCCGTGTCGCGGCGAGCGGTGTACTCGAATAGACTCGAATAAAATATCGAACGTATCACTGATATTCTCGATACGACCGGCTGGCATTACAAGATCGAAAATCTAATATGAATACGCTTTTAGCAAAATCACTTTAGCGTAGGCTTGTACCGTTGTCCTGGTAGACTGCGGTAAAAATAAAAGGTGGCATTTTTGTAAATAAAATACGAAAAGGTTTGTATTTGGGTTCGTTAGAGCGAAAGTGACATTGATAAGTAAGAAACATGTTTTTTTATATTTATTTTATGCTATGCTTATAACTTTTAAATTAAATATTTAATGCCATTCGATTTATTAAAATAAATAATAAAGCTTTATAGTACATTTAACAAATCTGGTTCATTATAACCTTGGCTCCTTTTCTAGGTCTCCCTGTATTAAAGGAGCCAATGACTTCCTACAAGTTATATTGCGTATGTACAATATCATTTTTATCATAAGGTGGCAAACGAGCGAGCGGCCACCTGAAATCGCTGAAATAGCGAAGTGACCATTGCCCACAGACATACGCAATTGCATAAGCGTTGCCTACCTTAAATCGACGGAGGAGAGGATGCACAGAAAAAAAGTATATGTATCCTGTCATCCGGAAAGTCCACTTCCACTTCCCATCCTTTCCTTATAAGAAAAAGGGTGGGAAGGGAAAGAGGCCTAAATTAAATTTTTATAAGTTGAGTAATAATTTTATAATCTAAAGAGAACAAACAATAGTAACTAGAAATTATATAAAAAAGCTAGATTAATTAAAATGGAATAAAAGATTCTATAGTATCGTTATCTCACAAAAAAAATGGATCTATTGATCGTTACTTTAAGCGATAATTCGGAGTCAGGATCATGAAATATGCTTTAAAAACTTGATATTTAGTACTGACTACTTCTTAATAGTATTGACTAAGAAATCTTCACTAAAATTTCGTCATAACATTATACATTAATGGAGACCACATAATCACTCTGGGTACGGCGATCAGTAATATAAAAATCAATCTATTTGTTATAAAGTCCACTTAAGTTGTAATAATAGTAAAGTAATTAATTTTAAATAATGATGTCCATGTTGAGTACAAGAGATGAGATCATTTCTTGTGTTGACATGAGTCATTGCGGAGGCGAGAGATGACACCGTCTTACAAGCTTCCTTAAGAGGTAAATGACGCATTATTTTGTTTAATCTGAGTATGTTCAAATACGTCGATACAGTTAAAGTAAATTAAATATCATAATTTATTTCTTGTCGATGGATAAAATTTTTGATTATTATTTGAACGAAAAATAACTTAGAAAAGTCACAGATCACAGAATAAAAATTTCAAAATCAATATAAAATATGCAACTATTGAAGTAAATAAAAGTAAAAAATAATAATATTCAAAATAATGAAATCGATTGAAAATTCTGCAAAGGGACCTTCACTTCATTCCAGGCTGAATACAGAATACGAACTCCATATTATTTTTTCACAGCTATAATTATTCTGCAAACATTGTAAATTACAAGATTGCGTGTAATACTTAAAAAGGCGATATAAATATCAAGCACTTAGCTAATTAAATTATTGTACTAATATAAAATCAAATCATTTAAACAACCAAAGTATTGTACATTTTTCTCCCAACATGTGTGAATGCTGAATACAGGTGTAACTTAGTATCCACGGGGATAAAGACCTTAGTATCAGCCTGCATAAGCCAACTTTGTTTGATCCTTTTGTATTACCTACTCGGGGCAACTTGGCTACGTTTTGCAAGTGCACAAGAGGATAAAGAAGTTCAAATTACATTGGCGGTGTGTCGTAGTGATATTACTGTCAGGGGAAATAACTGAACATCGCGTATAGTGGTGAACACGTACGTACCCGCGTTCGTAAAAACATAAACGTGGAAAGATATACACAGATTACGCCGGTTTTCTCTAACAGCTCTTGGGTATTATTATGAATATGATTGTATGTTTAAAGAAATTCTATTCACTCTTTATAATTAACGTAAGCGACTTGGGTCTAATGAGCGAGAATAAATTCATAATAATGTAATTAGTTTTATTATAATTGTAAATAATTTAAAAGCATCTCGCCATATTGTTAGTCGCTTTTACTAGAGATACTATCGTAATATTTAGTAGCCTTATGGTCTTACTCATAGATGTCGCGAATGCAAAAATAACTACAGAGATAGATTTTTCAAAAAGGATAAAGTTCACCGCCGTATTTAATTAGTATTTAATGAATAGACTTCGCTACTAAGCCACAATCAGCGGTGCCATTTTACCTACACATGACTTGGCCAAAAGCTATAAAGAAAGTTAAATTCTGTTGTATTTTACATAATACTATTATAATTTTAATTCAAAGGCCTAAGGTGATTTCGTACAGTATGAAAACAAAGAAGTACTTTAAAGCGCCAAGAACGGGATGTTCAAAACGGGTACATCGGACGTTTGGTAAAATAAAAACCATTGAAAGCGATGAAGTTTAATCGTTAATACGAGAGTTTAAGGTTTATTTTCGAATAAACGACCAACAAAACCACGTTCGAAAATGTAATGAAAAGGGAACTAACATTTTTATAGAGGTTTCAACGACTCTCACAATGGTGGCGAACGTTTTACATTTAAGGAATCCTCATTTTATTATGTGTCGTGTTACACATCAGCTTTTATGTGCCAACATCTTTATACAAAACGGGTTTAACTGTTTACGTACTAAATTAAAACTTTAATTTGCGAAATATCTATAGGCAACGTTGATATAATTATTACTTATGACTTATTAAATAGTAATTTCGTTTTTCTGCGCTTTGTATGACACAAAATTACCTTGGAATTAACTGTCACTCTCGTGTTTCTCATATATTCTTCTACTATTTTTATCGTAAAAAATAGCAAGTTTTAAATCATAAGGTAAACTAAGCACACATCATTGACACTACAAAGTAAAATAAATCAGGAGATTTTTATTCAAATAATCCTTACCCATTATTTATTGTACTCAAATAAATCCCAAATACTTATTTGTTGAAAGTTTACAACAGCATAGGACGCCCGCGGCGACAGGGTCGTCCTTTTTGTTTTATTAGTTACCAGACGCAATAAAATAAATCAACATATAGTTGTCCTGATTATCAAAACTTATGTAAATTATTAATAAATTCCTAAGCAAAAGTATTTCGATGATGTCGACCGCGACATCGTACATACGCCCGGAATAAAAAAAATATAAGTAGCCTAAATATCCTTTCAGAATTTCACGTCTATGCTAAATTTCAATGTTTCCTTTAGCCGTTCTGGAGATATCTACTAACAAACATCCATCAATCCAGCCATCCATGTAAACTTTCGTATTTAGATTATCAGATCTTGGTATTTTCCAAAAGTAAATCGGAACTACGTAAAAACGTTTGATTCGTTAATATTTAGTAGTGCATCTTGCATAGCAAATTTACCAAGATGATTTGTATATGGCTTATGGTTAGTATACGGTATTTGCTGATTCCCCCAAATACAACGATCAAGTCAACGTCAAAACGTTAGAACTGCCTTTGCCTCTATCCTAACGTTACTATATTTGATTGAGGTCAACTCACTTAACCATTTCACTGGCTTATGTTTATAACAAACATAGAGATCGTTTAATAAAATTGTTTACTTAGCGCTCAGAATGAGTGTTAATAAAAACAACGAGCTCTGTGAATATAATATTCTACTCTCCCAAATGGAAGTTCCGTGTTTCATTATTTCAGTCGGTATTACATTATCGGAATCGATGGAAAATAAGAGGCTGTTGGCAATGTCAAACATCTTAGGGAGAAAAGTCAACTGTAAGTCACACGACGTTGTAAATTATCACGTTTTTTTGATAAAATTTATTAGAAAGAAGTGCGTATTATGTTACTTACAATGCTATATTTGTAACCAATAAAAAGTGTCATTATTTTGAAACTTATTCAAAAAATTATGTTTCTTGGTAACCATCAGTTTTTGAATGCTCTGAATAACAGCATGTTACATGCAGAATATCAACTTTGTCTTCTTATATTATAAGTTTATCACTCAATAACCAGGTCGAATAGCAAGACCTACCGGGAATTCTAGTCGAAGACTAAAAGAGAAAGGACTCCTTTCAACGCGTTCCTGTAGGATGGGTTCAATAGAAAACAAAAGCTATTCCATGAATAAATTATATCTATAAAGTAAATGTAGACCTACATATAGTACATTCAAGTAAAGATTGTATTAGAATGATTGAAGAGACGAATAAATCGTACATATTTATTACTACTCTTAAATATGTAGGTATAATATTTCGTCCGTACGATTTCATCTTTAAATTTGTAGCGTGTATATTTATTCCACCGACTCAGTGTAATAATGTGATGTAACACCTAATATAACAGACAGAAGCGAGGTTCAAGCGTCCCAAGAATGTTACACAAAGCTTTATTTTGAAACATACAATGACAATGGCGCTTTTCCAAGCGAATAGTATCCATTCATGACATTTGCAAGGACCGTTTCACAGGGAACGGTGCTGTAAATACGTTGACAAAAGCAAAGGAGTTACGTCTCAGCGTCCCAAACAACCCATTCGAAATAAAATTCGATGTTTAAGTCACACGGTGGTTGCATATAACTAGCTACTTTATATTCTATTCGAAGCGTTCATCGGTTTCTTGTTTACATTTAGGTGATATTTTTGGCGTCCTTATATCATGGACAAATCAAAAGATGCTAAGGGTTTTTATAGAATAAGTGTTATTGACAGTTGACGATGGACAACAGTCGATCGGAATCGCATCAAGTATTCGTTGGTTAATCGACTTTAGATTTCGGTCCTAAAAAGTAATAAATGAACCTTTTTTTAAATCGAATTCTAGACTATTCGCCGTGTACGGTAGCGTCTCGCATGTTTACATACCATAAAGTTCCCCGTATTAGTTGCAGGCTCGTTAGTCCGTACTTAAGGAAATTTAAGTACGTCTCGTATCGCAATTTATGTGAAACACATATGTTGTCTTTCCACCTTGAAACTTTTCGGAAAATTTACGCTCATGTACATTTATGTTTTGTTCTTAAATTTTGTGTT